CAGGAATGCTTTGGGGCTTTTTTTTGTGGTAGTGTTTCTCTAGACCTGGGATTTTTTAAAACCTTAGATCATGACCCGTGAGCCTGAAAGACTCGGCTTTATGAGGATAAAAGCTGTTTTGTTCTTTGCACCTGGGAACCAGAGCTCAACAACACTTTTCATTCAATTTTTTCCCCCATGAACCCTCTGCCTACCTTCCTCTCCCTCCCCCTCCCCACCACCAGATCAATCACCAGTTGATTTTTGTGGATTTCGCTATTCAAAATGCTTTGTTTCATAGCAAAACGTTTCCACATGGAAACAATTTTGTTTAGAGAATTCCTTTCTGTTCATTGTAAAGAAAGTAAAACATGTAAAGCTGGTTAAAATTGAAATGAACTTTTCTCTAGCTTTCCTAAATTTTCAGTGATCTGAAAAATCCATTATTCACCCAGCTCTGGTGGTGACTAACACAAGGCAAAAGCGTAATGGAGATGAGGCTAATTTGTAACTTAAACACGTAAGCAGAATATGCTAAAAAGTGTGGGAGAGCCTGGGGTTAAGTAATGAGCTAAAAATGCACTTTTTTCCTAGTGAAGATGTATCCAAGGAGTGGGAGGAGCTCAGAACATAAGTAAATTAAAAGATTTGAGGTAGTTTTCTTTGGTGTCTGTACCTACAGCGATCGGTAGGACAGCCCAGGCTAGGGCAGTTGCCATCTTTGCTGTTTGCCTTACAGCTTTTATTTCCCTGTGCAAGAGGAGAAGTCAGTGTGTCCCCAAGGAGAGGTGGAAAAGAAAACTGCATTGCTCATAGGAAAGTGAGTAATAAACTGGTGTGTTAGAGGTCTGGCCTCTGCTCTGAAGGGATCAGTAGAGCTTGGGGAGGATCACCGCTGAAGGCTTTGGGACTGAGAGATGGGGCAGGAGGACTGAGAAGTCAGCTGAAGGGTCAGGGTTTTAGTATCTGGTTGGCGAGTCCCTCTAGCTAATTGGCTTTATGTTTACTGTAGTTACACACGGGACCATCCACTGTTCTTACAGCTAAAGGATTACTTTTGGGTGAAGACCATCTCCCCATATGAGCTGCCATATGGTACTAAAGGAAGTGGTAAGCGAATCTGCTTTCTCTGCTTTTTTTGGCACTGGGCTCATGGTTTTCGATAATTTCAGCATGAACATGGGGAGGGTAACAATCGTAGTGATTCAGAAAAGGTAGCTACAGAAGGAACAGTTGGTTCACCTGGCCTGCCCTCCTGTATAACCCAGGCTGGACAGTTTCACCCAGCCTTGATCTGAAGATTTTGCAAGGTGAAAGATCCATGACTTCCCTGGACGCTTATTCTACTGATTATGCCCTTTGCTCTTGGCCCTTTACAGTTATGTGGGGGAAGAGAGGGCCGTTTGAGCAAAAAGCCATCTGTTCTCTGCATTTCAAAGGACTTATGTTATCAAACCCTGCATTTGCTGAATCTGCTGGGCCAGTGTTCCCCCTACAGGATGAAAACTCAGCAAATTGTGGGTTTTACAAAGGGGAACAAATCCCGGTAATCTAAAAATAAATTGAAATCATTAGAGGGGGCCTATTATTAAGCTCCATGTTCCTTCTTCAGCCCCTCATTTTCACTCCTCTTGTCCTACTTGCTGCTCATGTTTCAGTACTTTCTACCCAGACTCAGATCCTGAACTGGGTACAGTTCTGCTCTGGGGCAGCAGCAGGGGCTCTTTTCCTTTCTCATCCTCCTCGTCTTCCTGACATTAGGCTGTTAATTTGCTCTCTTTTGGGCAGGCAAAGAGGATGGGTAGAGGCTCTTACTCAAGTTCTCAGCCCTGCCCTGAGGACCCCTCCACCAGTTCTTCCAGAGCCTGGGAACTGGGAACAGGGGGAAGGAAGGGCCTGTGGTGGTGCTGGCTCCGGGTGAGGCTTTGAGTCAGACGTGGCAAGTGTGTGGTGAGACACGCTGCAGTTACTGAGTGACAAGCAGAAACCCTAAGCTTGGTGAGGTGATATGCAGGCGCTGGTTCCCTGTCTGGTGCTTGGACAAGGGTGGCATGATGTGCTGGAATGGGTCCGAGGTTTGCTGGTGCAGATATGATCTCCTTAGGAAGCTATTCTGCCCTGGTGAGGGGTTATCAAGCCCTCTTCCCAGAAAGCAAGCTTAGCGCTGGGGCACTTGGGTACCAAAGCAGAGAGGGTGGATAACTAGGACATGGATGGATGTAGGCAGGATTGGCTTTTGTCCTACTTACTTAGTGTTGAACCTGGACATATGGCTATTTAGTTTCACCTTGTACCTGACCAGTCAGCACATGGCTGTTTTGCACTTTCCAGCCAGCTCTCAGGAAGCCCATCTCCATCAAGAGTTTTCTCCCTAGTGACAGCCCAGTGCATTGTCTACATTTCGGGACTTTTGCCTGATATGGTGAAACCCACTGCTTCTGGGGAGGACCAACCTCACTAACAGCTCCTTTGCTTTACTTTGCAGAAGATGTTCTTCTCCGGTTGTTAGCAATCACAAGCTACTCAGTGCCTGAAACCATCCTAAGGTAATTCCAGAGCATCCAGCCTTTTTTGACACTTCTAAACATCCTAGATTGCAGAGAGCATCTTTGTAGGGTGAATTATCTTCCTGGAAATGCGAGAGTGAAGATGTAGCCACAGTGGTCCAGGAATTATGTGAGAGGCAAGGCTTTCTTTGGGTGATATCTTTTATTGGACCAGCTGCAATTGGTCCAATAAAAACAATCACCCAAAGAAAGCCTTGCCCCTCTTATCCTCATGGAGTCATTGGACGAGGCTGCATCAGGAGCCCTGGAGATCAGGTTTTCTCTTTCTCAACTGACTGAGTCAAAGGCATAATGACAGGGCCAAGTTCCCCACCTGTGCAGTGCCTAGTACCAGTGTACCCCAGGGTATACACATGAGGGCGTTTCTTCTTTACAGCCCATTTCATCTTTGGATGGGTCACTTACTGGATGGTTTTTGGTGTCTGAAAGCCTGCTGTCTTGGACTCCGCCTATTCAGGCTGCAGTAATTCAGTTGCTGCTGAGCTGTCCTGGGCCCATACTGGATGAGGAGATCAAAGATTCTGTATTTCTTGCAATGATTTGATGTCAAACCAGCAGACGATTTTTTTCCC